AATTTAAGGACAGTCCTCGGGAACAGAATTCATTAAACTAGGGACTACTTGTACAAAAGTGTGTTTGCTTTTTTTTAAAAGGCATCCAGGTTTGGTGACGCATCTAAAAAAATTAGCAACTGGCATACGAAATACAAGTGAATCTGTCTATGTATCAGAAAGACTGAAATGCAACTACTAAAATACATAATCTGACATCCTGCAACTTCAATGGTAATTGTCTAGTCCTCAAAATTATGGGATTATGGTACAGTGTGGGAGTCACAGGAAGCTGAACAGTAACAAAAAGGATGAGGCGTTTAAAATGATACTAAAATCTAGTCTCCTCTACTATTCCTCTTTACTTGTAGAGGTTTTGAGCATAATTCCTCTTTTTGCCAAAAGAATTCAAATGCCTTTAAGTATAGGCCAACTTTCCATAGGGAGATGCTCCCTAGATTAATACACACAAAGGCCATTCATGCTGAGAGTTGTCTTAGGTCCTCTGAGTGAAGAATGCAGATCTCAGAAGCTGGGTGGATGGAAAATATTTATTGCCAAACTCGAGGCAAAGAAAAAAAGGTAGACCATTGTTTTTCACATTTGGCAATTTTAAGATGTGTGCTCTTCAACACTCAGAATTCCCCAGCCAGCATGCTGGCTGGGAAATTCTGGGAGTTGAAGTCTATGATCTTAAAGTTGCCAAGTTTGAAAAACACTGAGGTAGAAGAATCCCAAATAAAGCAGCATACAGAGGATACAACAACACAAGCACAAATTAAAAGTAACAAATAAGGATTAGGGATGTTTGCACTGTCACTCACCAGAGGGATTCAAGTTTGCAGTTTGGACTCCTCACACCTTCACAGATGTCAATCACTCCTTCATCACCAATGCAGTTGCCACTCATTTGCAGCTCTTTTAGGACACTGTTCACACTCAAAGCAGAGCTAATACTCTTGCAGCAGGCTGCAGTCAAGTCACAATCTCTTAACCTGTAGCAAACAAATAAGAGCATCTCCTACATTGTTGGGGCTTTGCAATGCAACAAAGCTTTCCCCAGATTATGTTTGCTTTCTCCTCTGTCAAATTATTAGCGGCTAGTTTTCTGCTGGCCTATACGGAACAACATGCTGAAGACCCAGCAACCTTAGTCCCATTTGCTCACACCAATTCTCTCCCTGCTTCAACAGAACCCCCTTTTCATACCCATTTGGCCGAGGGCTTCACTGGTAAAAGGTGCAAGTGACAGAAAGGCATAAAAAGTGAAGACACTCTCAAAAAATGAAGGGAGGTTTAAAGAGCCTCCACCTCACAGCAAGGATATACTTGCTGATGAAGAGTTACATTACAGATTCTTGGAATCAGAAGCTAGAGGAGAATGTCATTTAAGCAATCCCTGAAGCTACATGGAACCCCTAGTTTCCCGCTTCATTCTAGACATATCCTGCTAAGAAGCATTACTGGTTGTACCAAGAAGAAACCACATACTAACCATAGAGACTCAAGCTTTGTTTTTGGATCCTTCAGTCCTTGACATAAGAACTCCATTCCTTCATCTGTCAGAGCATTTCCCAGCAGGCTTATCTCCTTGAGTGTCTCTTTGGTTCCAATGACTTTGGCGAGTTCCTTACAACCAGGAGCAGTGATATTGCATTCCCACAACCTGAAATAATCACCAAGTCATTGGCTTTAGCTTTTGACCAACAGTAAGATGGGAGACCCATAGTTCCCTCTTCAAATGATATATACCAATTGGAACTTTATCATTCACATCTTCATAAACTTGCTCCTTAAGCTACATCCCGTTCACTTACAGTAAGTAGAAATACATAAAAACATTCAAATGAACATATGACCTAGAACCAAAATTCCCTCTTGGCCAATGAAAACAGACCAGGATCAAGTCTATTTCCCAACATATCTGAGCCTGGAAGATTGGATTTTTTTCACCTAGCCCTAGTTTCTTAATCTCAATTGGAAACCCCACTTGATGGCTGCCATTTAGTGGTAGCATCTCTGATATCACTCCAGAATCACAAATTGTCTTTACCAGAAAAAGGTTGCCTACTACTAGACTATATGGCCATTTATAGAAACATGGATGAAAAATTAGGAATTGTGACTTATTTATGGTAACTGTTCCATTTCTTTAGAAATATATTTTATACACACAAAGAATTATTGTAGAAACTGCAGAGTTCCATCCCACAGAGAAGAATACCAAAAACACCTACTTATACAACTTATTAGACTGTATACTTTAAATTTCATGAATTATTCTTACTTGCGGTGGAAGAAAAAAAATATGCTGCCTAGATTTATGGTAGTGAACTGTAATTCTGAAATCTTATAATGTAATATATTTTTAAAACATTAAGAGAAGTTTATAGGTGCAAGTTTAAATGTTATAAAGCAAAAAATTAACCCCATTTTCCAACTTCAAATATATTAGAGACACTACTAAGCAGACCTCAGTTCTGGACTTGTTCTTCCACTGTCTGCAATACTTGGCTGTAACAATCTAATTATTCCCAGGTACATTACAAACCACTATGAAAGCCTGATTGGCTGATGTTACCAAAGGACATTTGATACAAGTCAAGACTCAAAGACTGCCAATGTTTAGGAAGCCACTTACCACAGCTTCTCTATTTTGCAGTTTGGATTTTGGACGCCTTGGCAAAGGATGGCTATACCTGCATCACCAATCCTGTTTTCCCCTATGCAGAATTCTATCAAGGATGGCTTATTACTGAGGACAGCACTGAGGTCCTTACAACTAGCATGTGTGATGTCACAGCTTTCCAGTCTGCAGAAAAACAAAAACCAGTCACAAAGCTGCACTGGATTTCACCAGAAAACTGACAATAGAATTTTGTTATTTCAGCAACTTTGCCTACAATAACCACAATTTTAGAGATAGGCATCTTGCAGCTACAGAACACATGGCTTAAATTTTTAAGGGTATGCACATAAGGAAAATAAAATTGTTCTGAGCTTGGAACAGAACAGCCACAATTGTGATATTTCAAGCATTTTGCCAAAGAGAACAATGGGAACTTTAAACAAGGTCCCTGCTTCATTTTTCATCATAGGGCTACAAAAAGAGTGTTTAATCAATGATTAGTACTATCTGCATCCAGTTTACAAGACTAGCAAATGGGTTTTTAAACTTTTTCGAGCTTTTAACACGCGCACACACACACTCACATGCATGCAGCAGACAAAGAAACTGTTAAGTACATTTTTGCAACCAGTCAGCACCAACAGCTACAAAACAGAACCCAGTGAAGATGCAAGAACAATGGAGTCATTTTAAAACAACCTATAAATAACCTAACCACAGGAAAAATATATTTCAGACTATTAGTTTGAGGTTCCTTCCTAATGCACAGTGCATACAAGTTGTATTTTGTAACACGTTTGCAACATAAAGCATAACAGCTTAGCAACAGGGACTATCTGTGAATATACAAGCAGAGTTTACATTTGACAACCTGCTTATAATACTTGTGGATCTATTGATTTGGCTGAGGCACTTTTCAAATCTTCAGCATTTGAATTACTTGGAACAACGTGGAATAAAATTCCTTTTGTCCTCAGTTTGGATAAAACTCTGAAACATTGTTTTTATTCTGAACTCAGAATACCTGAAATGGCTATTCCAAGCTCCTAATGTTTTAAATGTTTACCATGGCACCATCCACCTTGGTAGACACCCCCTTCCTTAGAAAATCCTTGGTTGGGACACCCCCCAAAAGAGAGAACTCCAAGCAAAAATGAAGTGTATCTTACTGTAGGGATTGCAGGTTACAAGGGCCATCCAATAAGGCTTGGCAGAGATGTTTCACTGCTGCATCTCCTAGTTTGTTGTTGCTCAGGTTGAGTGTCTGCAGGGACGATTTGGTAAGCAGTACAGAGCTGAGAGCTTCTATGTTCTCCTTTGTGAGTTCACAATATTGTAGCCTATAAGAGAGAACAGCGAGTTGACTTCCAAAAGATAATAGTAAGGAATTTATCATATTACGGGGTTGGGGGAAGGTGCAGAGGATGTGCTGTATACATACTACAACCTATAGCAGACCTTTTCAACCCAATTCTGTCTAGCTGTGTTATTTAATCAACTTCTAGGCTGCCTTCATCACAATACCAACTCTAAGCAGCCAACAAAGCATAAATAAGTAGGATTAAAACAAGAAAGCAAGAGAAATCAAGCAAATAACAGGAAGAATGCTAAAATCCAAGTCAGGAAAATAACAAAACCAGTTACACTTCATAAACAGAGTTCAGCAACTAGAGTCACAAACCACCCTGCCAAGGATTTGCCAAAAACCCAGGTCAAGCCCTTCCCAAAACACAACAGGAGTGGTACCATATGCACTTTAGGGGGAATGTGGTTCCAGACAGCAGGAATGGCCAGAGCAGGCATGTCTCCAATATCCCACAAGATGGCACTGTTTCTCTGATGGAATCTGGAGCATGCTGATCCTGTCAGATCTTATGGGTCGTGCAGAAACAACCAGAGAAAGGTTGTCCTGCAGGTATCCAGGCCCTAAGCCATGAAGGGCTTTATAGGTGTTAACCAGCACTGGTAACCAATGGAGAGTAGAACTGCTACATGAGCAAAACAAGGTATGCCCATTATTTGCTTGCACTGCTGCACTGCATTCTACCTGTAGCTTCCAGTGGTCTTCACGGACCCACATAAAACATGTTGCAATTGCCAAAATGGACCCAAGACATAAGAACTACAGTACGCGTAAGGCCTCCTGATCCAGGAAAGGGCACACCAGATAATCTGTACAAAGGTTACCCTGGCTTTAAGTGTTACTTGCTCATCAAGTAAGAATTAAGAGTCCAGGAGGGCCCCTCCCACCAAGATTACACACAAGTTCCCTATGGGGAAGTGCAATCCCTTCAATAAATAAAATGGGGAAATCCCCGAGATTTCCAAGAGGGAAAACTTACTATAGGCAGATGGGGTGTTTAGCAGTAACAGTCAGAAACCAGGGCCACTAAAAAGTCAGTGACTTAATACCTAAAATGAGTAGCGAGAGTTACAAGGGGGAATCAGTGTAAGATACCAAATCCTCCTTCCCTGAGACTCCTGCAAACTCTGGTCTAGTCTAATCTCTAGGTCTGGGTGAAAAGATCGTGACTTTGGACCCCTCCTTTGATAAGATTTCATGACTGAGCTCTTCAATCCTAACCCAGCATCTTAACCACTATGACATATATAATTTCTGTGAAGGTGTTCCATTATTATGTAAGATGGAGGGAGGAAATGCAGGCATTCCAACTTGAGAAACTTCTAACCAAAACATATTTGCTCTGTTATATTTACTGAAGTACTTCAAATACTTACTGAAGTGACTGCAGCTGACAGTTTGGATCCATAAGTCCTTGGCACAATGCTTTCCCACCTAATGTGCCCAAACTGTTGTCTCCCAGGTGTAGTTCTGTCAGAGATGATTTGCTTTTAAGTACAGAACGAAGATTCTCACAGCAAGCTTTGGTTAGGTTGCAGTTCCGTAACCTGGAACAACAAAACTCTGTACATTAACATTAATGCCTGGAAGTAGGAATAGATAGCCTATGTCATCACACTGAATGCTGTAGTCACACTGGCTGGGATATATGACAGCCAAGCCCAACACATTTTTGAAGGCCACAAATTCCCATTCCTAACAGTAGCCATGACAAGAGTGGCTTGAACAACACTAAGGCAGATTAAACTTCTCTCAGTGTCACTCCTCCGTTCCAGAAGGATGGGTCCTTCTATCGCTTCTGCTTGATGGATTCAACCACTCGCAATAAACTCTAGAAATAATGTTGATGCAGTATGTGCCTTACGCTCTATCTCAAGAACTGCAAATAATTATATATGTAGAAAAATGCTCAGCTGTTTTGGATGCAAGAAGTGTAGAGTTCAAATGTTTGATATTTACTAGCAAAGCTGGAGACTCCTGTTTGAATCCCTAGAGATTCAATTGCCGATAACTGTTGATTTCTCCAACCTGGCATTCTTCAACTATGTTGGGCCACAATGTTCAGAATGTGCCCATGCTGGCTAGGAACTAAGTAAATTATAATCTAAAACAGTTGGACACCCTAAGGGTTTTTGGGGGTGGAAGGGAGAGGGACTGGTATCTGTAACACTAAACTAAGTAGGCCACTGGCCCACCCTGGTAGAAGGCAACTTTTCTTCCCAGGAAGAAAACAGCCAAGTCCCACAGCTAAAGACTCCACCTCCAAGTCCCATTTATTTCCAGTTAGCCAATGCATTACAATGGTGCAAAAGAGAACTTCAGACAGGATTACATTGGTTCACTGTAGTGTGGATTAACAAGAATATTACAGCTATGTGACCATAAAACCAATAATTGCCATTTTAAGATAGAATTTCAGACACACATAACAAGAAGCAGTGTTCCAAATGGTACTTTGCTATGCTGTTCCTTCCTGGAGAAACTCTACCTTTGTGGTTGCTAAGAGTCAACACTGACTTGGATGGCACAGAATCAATTGATCACACTATACTAGTTTTCATTTGTCAGCTGAATTAATAGGTGACTTCCTCAATATTAACACACATTTTTACCTATTTGTGTCAGTGTGCATCTAAACAAGAGCAATCCTCATTCTTTCCAATTCAGCACCAATTTAATGCTTTCCTTGCCACATATCAAATCAATGCTCTTTTAGAGAGGTGAGAATTCAAACTTCTATATTCTTCTCTCAATATTATTGCGCACTTGAGTTCTATGATTTATTATATGGGATTGTTGTGGAAACAAATAAAGTGGCACCATTTCAGGGAAATCCTGGGAAAAAGGGTGTATAATGATTACCCTATCAATTTAAAACCCAGTTTGAAAAATCATTTGAATACAGATGCTTATAAATCACCTATACTGGCTGTTTTCAGAAAATCTACCAAATGATAGTTTTGTGATACGAACTGAAGCACAAGTAGTCCTCGCATAACATCCGCTCGTTCGGTGACCATTTGAACTTATGATGGCACTGAACAAAGGGACTTACAGCCAGTCCTCAAAGTTCCAGCTGTTGCAGCACCCCTGCAGTCATATGAACAAAATTTGGGTCCATCTGCATTTATGATCGCCTTTTGGCCAGCTGCCACTGCCACCCAGCTCTGCCCACCACACACAACTATGTACCGGCCAGAGCATTCTTCATGCCACCAATGCTGGGGTCTCTCTCTTGCCCCAGCCAGGACCTCCATTTGCGCACTAGCCAGGGCCTTCTTTCGCAAAAGAAGGAGCCAGCTGGAAGGGCCCTTCTTTCTTACCAGTGCAGCTAGGGCCTTCTTTTACACATTTGCCTCGAAAAAGGCAGGCACGCGAAAGAAAGCCTCGCTGCACCAGCATGAAAGAAGGCCCTGGCTGGGGCACAAACAGAGGCCCCAGCAGCCCCGGTACAAAAGAAGGTGGCACAAAGAAGGCCCCAGCCCTTACAGTAGCAGACACCATGTTGCAGGCAGGGCTAGGAGACAGCGGGTGGCCAAAAGGGCAGAGATGGAGGAAGACAGGAGGATGGGGGGAGTTGAACAGGAGGCAGAGGATGCAGTCCCTTACCTTACCAAGGCTCGGGGCTAGGAGGGACCAAGCCGGGAATGGCTTGGATTGGGGTGGGCCTTCAGGTAATGACCAGTGGGATTCAGTTAACAATGGCAACAGGGAGTGCCAGGATTGCTGTCACTATGCGATGTGGTCATGTGACATCGCACTTTACAACTGCATTGCTTAGCAATGGAAATTCTGGTCCCAACGGCCATTGTAACTCGAGGAGTACCTGTAGTAAATACCATAGTTGACCAACAACAGTCAAGGATGAATTATACTGAGAATTTACTTTATGTGTGGGAAAAATGCTAGGAAGAAACATGGAAGGCAATAATACTGTAAAGGCTTCCATCCATGAAAAGTACAGTCTAATGCTACTAAAGCCACTACGGATTGTAAGAATATTTACCAGAGTTTTTGAAGATTGCAATTGGGGTTTAACAATCCTTTGCATAGCACATCTACACCAGAGTCTCCCAGTTCATTGTTGCTTAGATTCAGTTCAGTCAGTGCTTGGCTGGTACTTAGAAGAGAAGAAAGATCTTCACAGTGACTAACTCCCAGACCGCAGTCATCCAATCTAAGAATGAGAGGAAAAATGGATTTAGACATTAGCTCTAATATAGTCAGGTGAGATGATATCTACAGCACTCTCCTAGGCCAAGCTTATTAGTAGACTTCCCAAATACTTGAATAAATAAGTAGCATGCATCTCAGGTATTTAAGAAGATCCTGGAGCAACATACTAAGCCTACATGATTTTTTCCCCCAAACCAATACTAAGTGCTTTCAGTACAATTTCCCACTACTGTGAGCAATTGTCCAAGATGGCTAGAGAAGATCTATGACCCAATGTATCTGGAAAGTACCTGAACTGGAGTGAGAGAGAGAGACACTGGTATATGGAAAAGAAAAACAGAACTATTTGAGGGGAAACATGAAGAAAAAAATTACTGTCCTTCATGCGAGTGACATTTCAGAAGTAATTTTGTGCTTGTCCATTATTAATTTTCCCCAACTCAAATCATGCATGGAACCCATTGGAGTTGTCAGACAATGTCTTTAAAAAGCTCTTCCAATTCGCTAACATTGTAACTTACCTAATTGTTTTGTGTTGGTTCAGGGTTGAAACAAGCTCTTTCCATTTTGATGCATCAAATTCTTGGCACTGGATGTCAAGTTCCATTTTTGAGGCCTCAACTGTAGAGATGAGGAAAGAAAAGGACAATTTATCACCCCCAAGTAAAAAAGAAAAGCCCACTTCCCTGCATGACTGGATGCAAACTAGCGCAGTTACATTTTTGGTCTTTTGCAATTACAGCCTTCTTATCTGTAAGACAGAATTTCTTCATAGGAACCTGCCCTTGCTCAAGAGCTAAATACCTCTGTGTGAAGTCATTTGCAACTTTAAAAAAACTCTACTGAACAGGAACTGCTGCAACAATTCTGCAGCACACACAGACAAATTATGAAATGTTACAACAAGAGGCAGCATATTACCACACAGAAGGAACTACAACCCAGGGGCAAAGCATGTGCTTTGCATACCAAAGGTCATGGGGTTTGATTCCTGGTACCTCTGAGTAGGGCTCAAGAATCTCCTCCTGAAAACCCTGGAAAATTGTTGAGTCAGATCTGAGCTAAACTGCTACCTTCTGGCCCATTTTTGTGTTTTCAGGGGTTTCTGGGATAATTAAGAGGCAACATTTCACCACAACCTTCAACAACCCCCCCCCCACTACTTTGGTGATGTCTTGGCTGGTCAGCCATCCTCCCTAGTAGACCCAAGAAACTTTCCCACCCTTAGGCTAGCAGGACCATCAATAAACGAATGAACATTTGTTAGTTTCTTATCTTCCTATGCTGTATTTGGTTCTAAACTAACATGGTACCAGGGCCTCCAATGTTATTTACAATCTCTCCAAGAGTTACAACTGCAATCAAGTAAGCTTCCATTTCTGCAGGAATACAGGCAAGAGTTATAAGTAGCTCCTGTAGACTCTGGACACTTACTTAATTCATAATATTTTTCCTTAACACATTTATAAATGAATCTTGGCATAAACTTAGTTATCTGAATTGAAGTGACTTACAGAGGCCATTCCAAAAGATAATTCACATCAGATAGGCTTCCAGAAAGTATGTAATCGATCAGTTCCAGTAAACCTAGCCTAAATAGCCATCCTAACTACCAATCTATTCTACAAAACAATCTTGCCTCATAGAAATGATGCTCAAATAGCGAATTCACCGTAATTATAATTGTTTAAGGGATGAGGAGCTTTATACGGTCTGCTAATCAGGTGTGGGCTATCCTGAATACATGGAAGGAACATCAACTGCAACCACTTTCAATTTCTAAGGTTCAAATTCTCACTGCAACAAAAAGCTATTTGGGGACTTTTTTCCAGCTGTCAAAATATGATACACGAAACTTCACAGATTTCAAGCAGACCTGTCTGTGCAGAGGAAACTCTTATTCTCTGTTTCACATGTGTTCGGGGGTTAGGAACAGGACTTCTTACATAGTACCATTTCAGTGCTACTCACTCCTACGTCTACCCAGCAGATAAGCTGTGCTTGGTCCCAACTCCTATGTATTTCCTGTTCTTGTTTATTTTCCCGCTGAGCTGCATCTACTGATTGAGCATTTGTGCTGTCAGGGTGCCTGACAACAGGCAGAAATAAGTCTCTGTCTCTTCTGGACTACTGAGCAAATGGAACCCATAGAGCTTTTGAGTCAGCCTTGCAATCTCACATGCAATGGCAAGTAGCTATAGGAAAAAAAAAGGTCCCCAAGACTTCTATGAAAGGAACCCCCCCCCCCTTAAGCTTAAACAAGGTGGGAGGACAGTGTGCCTTTGATCCTGTTTGCTTTGACCATACCATTGCTGACATGCAGTATCCGGTCTTTGGCTGAAAACAGCTCCATGTTGTCAGCTTAAAGCCAAAGACAGGGGAATATTAGATATTCTGTATCTAATCATTGAGGTTTATTTAGTGATTTATTTCTGGGATTATAGCATACTCTTATGAAGGGACAATTCAACTGTATAACTCAAATCTTTCCATTATTATAGATATTACATAGTTGCTTTGCTAGCCATTTTTGAGATCTGTGAGCCATTATCCCATCCTGTAGGAATGAAAGCATGGTTCAAAAGTTACCTTTCACTATGAGCAAAGAAATACAGTATCAAGTAATTCTTGGGAAAATGTACTCTACTTGTGACTGTCTCAGCAGGCAGTAGCCTGACTTACCTTGTTTACACTTTGAAAATAAGCAAGTTCATGCCTGATTAGTATTTATATGGGGGTCCTCCAACTGGGAAGTTTAAAAAGATATCCCAGAAGAAAGCAATCTCAATCCACCTCCATACTGTTTCTAACAACACTATGGAGGCATGAAGTTCAGTTCAGTGCAACGAAGACTTTACTACCACCACTGTCTGTGGCTGAACAGTTAGTCCTAATAAGCCTTTATACGTTATTATATCCATGGTTAAGACAATATAACCCAATTAAGTGGGCCTCTGTTTTTCACAGATAACACTCCTGCCGATAGTATCAAATCATAACCTCACTTTGTCATACCGCAGCTTTTCCCAACTCAGATTCAGGTATGCTCACATTACCTGGAAATTGTTACCTTGACACCTCTGTAATATGGTGGCAAGTTAAGACAGACTGAATTCTACTCTCTTTGCCTCATTCTAGTTACCTTTCAGTTCTTTTATTAAAAAAGGGCAGGGAGCTGACATCCAATAAAGTACAGTGCCACCCTTTAGCATCATATTTATAAGAATATTCCTGAACCTTCATAATTCTCACAGGTGTTCTTAGAAAATAAAATGATATGAAGTTGCCACACAGTGCTTTGCTTGGAAGCATATCTACCCACTCAGAGAAAAAAACAACAGAGACAAAAGAGAAGTAGTAGTATAGAAAATCCCTGGGGTCTCAAGGCCCTGACAAGCACAAATTTATCAGTCTGCCTTACTGATTAATCTTTTTCAACAGCTCATGCACATCTTCATAGTCATCTTATGAGATAAATATCTGGTGTGTCCCTGGGCCCACAAAGATCACCCAAGTGTGCTATGGGCAAAGCAAATGAACTACAGTGCATTTGGAAAGTATTCAGACCCCCTTCACTTCTTTCAATTTTGTTATGTTGCAGCCTGATACTACAATCGTTCATTTTTTTTCTCATTAATCTACACTCAGAACCCCATAGTGACAAAGTGAAAACAGAATTTTAGAAATGTCTGTAAATTTATTAAAAAGGA